TGGATCTTACTACCCTGTGTACTCTAGTTTAGGTGTTTCACCCTTGTGTAGCTTAGCTTCCCCTGCTGCGACAGGCGTAGGACTGCCTAGGTTGCCTAGTCTAGTCGCTGCACCGGCTCCGTCCCCGGCCTCCGCCACTGCGTCGCTGTCCTTCACTCTCGACTCTGGTGCTTCTGCCTGCTTCTTCCGCGACCGTTCCACGCTCACGCCGCTTGCTGCACCTGCTGTTGTCTCTCTCGCTGACCCCTCTGCGGGTCCGGTCGTCGCGCGCAGTTCTACGTCCCTTCCTTGTCCGGCAGTTCCCTCGGGCTCCCTTACAGGCCTCCACGTTCCCTCGTTCTCCAGGAACCTGGTTGGTGTCGGCTGTCTCCAGGACCTCGGCGTCACCACCACGTTCCCCGGGCACGAGCGGTTCGCTGTCTGTTCTGAGGCTATCTCAGGTTCCCCCCTTGCGACGTTCCCCCGGGACCCGGTGTCCGGTCTGTTTACCCTACACACCGCTTCCCCCCCGGTTGGTGCGTCCTCCCAGGTCGCTGCAGCTTGCTCGTGTCGGTCCCTCACTCACCCCTCCCTTCTCTGGCACCACCGCTTAGGTCACCCTGCTCTCCCGCGTCTGCCTCACATGTCCCAGCACGGTCTTGTCTTAGGTCTCCCCGCGTCGCTCCCTGCCCTTCCTCCCTCGACTGCGCCACCGTGCACGCCTTGCGTCGAGGGTCGGCTCCGCCGTGCTCCTCACTCCTCCTCGCTGCGTCCTGCTACTGCCCCCCTTCAGACCCTGCACTTGGACGTTTGGGGCCCTGCCCCCGTCCCCGGACCGCGCGGTGAGCGCTACTTCCTTGTGCTCGTCGACGACTACACGCGCTACACCACGGTGTTTCCCCTGGAGCGGAAGGCCGACGTGCCCGACGTTCTTCTCCCGTGGGTTGTGGCTGCGCGTCTCCACCGCGGTCTCCCCGTGTTGTGTCTCCACTCCGACCGTGGCGGCGAGTTCGCCTCTGGTCGGCTTGGACAGTTCTGTCGTGCGGAGGGCATCACCCAGTCGTACACGTTGCCGGACTCGCCACAGCAGAATGGGGTTGCTGAGCGCCGCATCGGCTTGGTCATGGAGGTCGCCCGTACCTCCATGATCCATGCCGATGCCCCCCATTTTCTGTGGCCGTTCGCTGTTCGCTACGCGGCTAACCAGCTTAACCTGTGGCCACGCTCCCAGCGGCGGCAGGTTTCGCCGACCCTCCTTTGGACCGGGTCCCCCGGTGACGCGTCTGCGTTCCACGTCTGGGGCTGCCTTGCTCACGTTCGTGCCTCTGGCACGGACAAGCTCACTGCCCGCACTGTCCCCTGTGTCTTCCTCGGTTTCCCCCTGGACTCGTCTGACTGGCTTTTCTACCACCCGCCGTCTCACCGCTTCCTCCACTCTCGTGACGTCACCTTTGACGAGTCCGTCTCCTTCTACCGCCGCTTCCCTCACCGAGGTCTCCCAGTTGCCCCCCACCTTTTCCTTGCTCCCCCTTCCCCGGTGCCTCCGCCCCCACTGTCGCAGTCGCCGACCCCGCTGCCGCCGCCGTCGCCGTCGCCGCCGCAGCCGTCGCCGCTGTCGTCGCCGCCGCCGCCGCTGTCGCTGCCGCAGCCGTTGCCGCTGTCGCCGCCGCCGCAGCCGTTGCCGCCACTGCCGCCGCTGCTCTCGGCCCCTGGGGGTGCTGGTGTGGAGGAGGGTGTTCGTCCTGCGGCTTCTGGGGGTGCCGCTGGTGTTGGAGGGGGTTCTCGCTCTGGGGGTGTTGGTTCTGGGGGTGCTGCTGTTGAGTGTTCTGCCGACGGTCGTTCTGCCTCTGCTGGTCCGAGAGTTCCGGCCCAGCCGTCGTCGCCGCCGCAGCAGCCGTCGCCGCCGGTTTCCGCTCTCCGCCTGCTCGGCCTTCCCTCCCCGGACCGCGCGCCGGTGTCTCCCCCACCGCCTCCTGACCTTCCTGTCTACGGTCCTGTGTTCCCGCCGCCAGACTCGTCTCCGGCCCGTCTTCCTCCTCGTTCCCCTCCTGTGTCTCCTCCGCTGTCCCCTGACCCTACCCCTCCGTCTCACGTTTGGGCTCGCCGTCCCTCCCGTGCTCGTCCCGTCTCTCCTGTCCTGCCCACCCACCCTATGTTGCTCCGTTCCCACTCGTCTCGTCCTCCCCTCCTCCCGTCCCCTCCTCCCTCGTCCCTTGCTGTTGCACCTCCTCCGTTCTCTGACTACCTCCGTGCTGCTCGTCCCCTTGTCCCTCGGGTCCTTGCCTCTCTTGTTACCGACCCTGCTGTTCCTGTCTCGCGCCTTGACGCGCTTGTCGCTGTTGTCGCTGACTTCGCCTCTACCCGCCGCCTTGACTACGCTACCGCTCTGGTCTCTGACCCTGCCCGTCCTCTGTCCGTCGGGGGTGCTCCTGCCCTTGGCAGTGACGTCCTAGAGGACAGGCAGTACGAGCTGGCTTTCCTTTCCGAGGCTGCTCCCCATCTCTGCTCCATGCTGTTAGTCCCTGAGGGTGACCCAGACGCCTTCGACATCCCGACCCCTCGCACCTACGCTGAGGCCACCTCGGGACCTTGGGCCTCTCAGTGGATAGCTGCCATGGAGCAGGAGATGGCATCTTGGAGATCCACCGGCACTTACGTCGACGCAGTTCCCCCACCTGGGGTGAACGTAGTCGATGGTCGGTGGCTCTTCAAGGTGAAGCGCCCCCCTGGAGAGCCGCCTGTCTTCAAGGCGCGCTACGTGGCCAGAGGTTTCAGTCAGCGCGAGGGGGTTGACTTCTTCCAGACCTTCGCCCCGACCCCGAAGATGACCACTCTTCGGGCGCTGCTACACGTAGCAGCACAGCGTGACTACGAGCTTCACTCCCTCGACTTCTCTACTGCCTTTCTTCAGGGCAACCTACACGAGCAGGTCTACCTGCGCCGACCACAGGGCTTCACTGGTACCTTCCCTCCTGGGACCCAGTGGCTTCTCAGGCGCCCGGTCTACGGCCTGCGTCAGGCTCCCCGTGAGTGGCACGACACGCTACGTGCCACGTTAGCAGACCTGCAGTTCTTTCCGTCCTCTGCTGACCCTTCACTGTTTGTGCGTTCCGGCCAGACTCCGTTCTACATCCTTGTCTACGTAGACGACCTGGTCTTCGCTACTCCTGACAGGGACGCACTGGCCTCTGTGAAGGCTGAGCTGCTGAAGAGACACACCTGCACTGACCTTGGAGAGCTGCGTCGCTATCTTGGCCTGCAGATCTCTAGGGACAGAGCAGCACGCACCATCACTCTGACCCAGTCACACTTGGTGCGTCAGGTCCTTCAGAGGTTCGGTCTTCAGTTCTCCTCTGCACAGCCCACACCTCTACCCGTAGACCATGGGCTCTCTGCTCCCGTTCCTGAGGAGCCAGTAGAGCCCAGTGGCCCCTACGCAGAGCTGGTGGGTTGCCTCATGTACCTGATGACTTGCACTCGCCCAGATCTCGCATACCCTCTCAGCATCCTGGCTCGCTTTGTGGCTACAGGCAGACACCGACCTCAGCACTGGTCTGCCGCTAAGAGGGTTTTGCGTTATCTTGCTAGTACATCAGGCATGGGGTTAGTGCTAGGAGGACGCAGGCCAGTGGTCCTTACTGGGCACACAGACGCTTCTTGGGCAGACGACGCTGAGACGCTCAGGTCGTCGCAGGGCTACTGCTTCAGCCTTGGTTCGGGTGCTATCTCTTGGAGATCCACTCGCTCGTCGTCTGTGGCTCAGTCTAGCTGTGAGGCTGAGATCTACGCTGGTGCCATGGCGGCACAGGAGCTCCGCTGGCTGACCTTCTTGCTCACAGACTTAGGTGAGCAGCCTAGCTCTGCCCCGGTCCTGTACGCTGACAACAGGGCCATGATACTCCTGTGTCAGGAGCCTCGGCTTGAGGGCAGAGCGAAGCATATCCAGCTGCGGTACTTCCTCCTGCGCGAGCTACAGCAGCGCCGCCAGGCCCGCGTAGTTCACTTGGCCTCAGGTGCCAACACAGCTGATATCTTTACTAAGGCGCTTGCGCCTAAAGATCATCAGCGGCACTGTGTACAGCTTGGTCTTGTTCCTGTAGCTGCTCCCCTGTTAGGATCCTGATTGTGTACTCTCTATTATATATGCTTGTCAGACTGGCCTTGTGGCCTTACCTCCAGTGGCTGGACTAGTAGTGCCACCCTGGCTTGCTTCAGTTTTGGTTGTATTCTTGCTGACTGGTCTCCAGACCCCTGCCTCAGTGGTTGGACTAGTAGTGCCGCCCTGAGCTGTTTACTTCTTGTTTAGTTTCACCCCTTGTCTAGCCTAGGGGGTGTGTCAACTTATACATATTATCTATGTAGAAGTTATAGGCTAGACTGAGGTATGCTTCTAGTGAGTACAACCAACTAGTATTTGTTCTAGGTTTCCACCTCTAGTAATCATTTGTTTCTACGTTAACAAATACAACCTCGAAAAATAATTTAACAGCAAGTGACGAGCGAGCTGGCTAAAATAGGGCACGGACGTGCTAGGACGAGCTACGGCGAGAACCTCGGGACGTGAGATGGATTGGATGGGGGCGAGGGTGTCGGAACGCGAGTCGGGGAGGTTTGGACCGACAATATAGACCGAACCTGCGAGTTCGAGGTCTTCGGGTATACACGCGGTAGTTTCGCGCTGTAAGGAATTGTAATTCCTTACAAGTCATAACGATTGTTACAAATTGCCACGTCCTACAAAAGCGACGAGTTGGTCCAACACGCGTTTCCACTTCAAGCTAAAATGCGTTGCGGACACGCCCCCCTTATTCACTTTCGCCGATAGCCTTGCATTCTTTGCCTCAATAGTGCAATATTTCTCAACTTGTTTCATGCACATGTGTAACCCCTAGCGCGGAATCGCTAGGCCTACTAAGGGCAGGCTACATTAGGCTCGAGCTGGGGCAGAAAACCGAGCCGGCGACTCAATGTTGGGCGTATAGGCGAATGAAAATGCTGAATTTCGGCATTTCCGCGCAACATGGAGCTCCGGGCTAATTTTTCCGCCCTAGGTCGAGCCTAATGTAGCCCGACCTAAGTAAACCACCTCTAGGGTTTTTCTCGCATACCCTGTCCACCCCCTCTCTCTGACTCACTCTCTCTCACTCACTCTCCTATTCCGCCACGCAGCGCGCTTCTAGCTAGAAACCGAGAGTTTCTGAGCTTGGAACCTCTCGTCACGCATTACTCTCGTCACCACCGCGCAGCTCTTTCCCTCTTTTCTCCTAACTGAAACTCGCTAAGTTCGGACGGTTGTCGTAATTCATCTTCCTCCACTCGTCGACCCAGATAGCACCCGACCAAGCCGTGGCCGTGGGCCGTCCCTTTCCCAGCGCCCTCGAGCGGCTCTCGTGCTCGCCGCCCCGTGCAGCGGAGCGCGCTCCCTCTCGTCCTCTCCGAGCCCCTTCGTTCTGCCCGGCATCCCATCCATTTCGCCCCCCCTCCCCCTCATCCGCCTTTTCCCTCTTCTCCCTCCTCCGCTTTCGCCCATCTTCCCCGTCCCCTCTCTCTTCTTCCCCGTCCCCTCTCTCTTCTTCCCCGTCCCCTCTCTCTTCTTCCCCGTCCCCTCTCTCTTCTTCCCCGTCTCCCCTCCCTCCGTCGTAACCCCCCAGTCTCCCCCCTCCTTCCGCCCTCACTCCCCCCTCCAGTTTCCTGTCCATCCTCCTCCATATTTCCCCTCTCGTCTCGCTTTCCCGCGTCTCCCTCGCTCCGTTTCCCCCCGGTCCTCTCCACTTTCCCGTTGTTTCCCCCCTCCTCTTGTTATCCCCTTTCCAAATGGCGGGTGGCTCTGTCGCAGAGCGTCCTACGTGCGATGGCGGCGAGGGCGAACGACGCCAGCGAATCAAAACAGTCGCAGCGTGTGAGCTGCGACGGCCTTTAGTGGGCGAAGCGGCGGAGTGCGACGAGAGCGTCGTGGCGGGGCGGCGGTGGGCGGAGCAGCGTGCGGCGAAGGACACAACGCAGGGGGGGGCTGGGGAGTTGGGCGTTGAAGGAGTGGGCGCGAACGGTGGCGGGGATCGGGCGGGGGAGAGTGACGTGGATCGGGCGGGGGAGAGTGACGTGGATCGGGCGGGGGAGAGTGGCGGGGTGGGGCGGCTTGAAGGGGAGAGAGGGTTGCGAGAGGCGTCGATGGGTGCCGCGGTGGGGGGGAAGAGAAGCGGACGCAGGGGGAAACGGGGCAGGGGGAAGGGGAGGGCGAGAAGGCGGAGGTTGCGGGTGGCAGTGGCGGAGGGGAGGGGAAAGACGATCATTCGCGGCGAGTGAAGGCCGCTTTTATATACGGCAATTACAAGCATTATTACGGATACAGGGTATGGCTGCAGAGAATGGTTGTCAGTTTAGGCACTTGGCTAGGGCTGGAGGGGTGAATGTAGGGCCGTGGGCCGTGGCGTGACAACCGTGGATGGTAGAGAATAAAGGGCTGAAGCCTAAAACCTAAAATCGGAAGCCTTGACCCCTGACTAAACCCTAACCCCGAACCCGAAAGCTCAAACCCGTAAAGTACCCTAAACCGCTGAACCGAAGGCTGTAAACTGTGAAGCTAGGTGGTTTGTGGCGCTAATGCTGTGTGGCGGTGGCGTGGATGGTGGAGGAGTGGGAAGGAAGGAAGGAAGACATGGCTGGGAGGGGGGCAAGGGGATGGGGTGCCGATTAGGAGGGGGTAAGAGAACCCGAGGCGAGGAGGGGGTAAGAGAACCCGAGGCGAGGAGGGGGTAAGAGAACCCGAGGCGAGGAGGGGGTAAGAGAACCCGAGGCGAGGAGGGGGTAAGAGAACCCGAGGCGAGGAGGGGGTAAGAGAACCCGAGGCGAGGAGGGGGTAAGAGAACCCGAGGCGAGGAGGGGGTAAGAGAACCCGAGGCGAGGAGGGGGTAAGAGAACCCGAGGCGAGGAGGGGGTAAGAGAACCCGAGGCGAGGAGGGGGTAAGAGAACCCGAGGCGAGGAGGTGTGGCGCAGAAGGCCACGGCCTGAGAGTGTGCGCGCGCCTGTGCTCGCTCACTTCTCTCATGCTCCCTCTTCGCCCTGCCTCCGGGCCTATCACCTATCATCCAGCCTCTCGCCTATCATCATATCACCTTATCCTCCAAACGATCACCTTTCCATTCCGCCCAGCTGGCGTGGTCATCCATGGAGTGTCATGTCAGCGCTCCACTCGCCCTCTCACATCCCTCAAATCTCTCGCAATGCCTCCAGTTTCTTCCCGTGCCCACTGCCACTGCTCCTGCTGCCAGCCCTGCCGCCCTCTTCCTTTGGAATTGCGCCTCCTGTCAATTGCCTACTCCTACTCCCCCCCCTCCCCCCCTCCCCCCTCCACCTCCTCCCACGCCATCCCAAGTGGGAGAAGCGTTGTTGGAGGAACCCCGGGTGGGCGGTTCAGGAGAGAGCGCTATGACTGCGACTCCTTCCCCCTTTCCCCGCCCCCGCACCACCACCATCCCAGGTGGGAGCGGCGTTTTCAGAGGACCCGCGGGTGCGGTGGTTTCGGCGGGAGTGGTTTGAGGGGCGGGACTGCGTGGACGTGGGGTGCAACTCGGGGTTCATCTCCATCGGCCTCGGTGAGCGCGACACTGCGTCGTGTGCCCTCTCCCACCCCGTCTGCCTACCTGTGATCTGATCTGTGGCCCAATCGCTGGGTCGCATGCGCCCGACATACACTTTCTCCCACGTCCTCCCCACCCCTGCTTCCCTCCAATTCCCCTCCCTCCCCCCCACTCCCTGTCTCCCTCAGCCAGCGCCCTCTCCCCTCCCTCCCCTTTTCCTGTCCTCTCAATCCTGATATCTGTGCTCTCAGTGTTTCCTCCCTCCCCCCGTTCCTCCCCTGTGCGGCGTGTGAAGCTCAGTGAGGCATTTCAGCGTGAAGTCAATGCTTGGCATCGACATCGACAAAGGTCCGTGCACTGCTGCTCGTTGTGCTGTGCGTGTCTCTGCTGTCTTCACCTCACGGTGTAGTTTTGCAGGCCGCAGGCGTTTGGCTATGCCTTGCAACCAGTTTGCGTACTTCCTCACCATGTGGCCGTCGCCCTTCTCCCCGTGGCAGATCTGATCAAGGAGGCGAGGAGGCAGTGGGGCAGCGTTGTGAGGGAGGAGAAAGAGAAGGAGCGGGGGGAGGGGGGGAAGGAGGGAGGACAAGAGGTTAAGGGGAACAGGGGCGAGAAAAGGGAGAGGCAAACGGATGGGGTTGTGGGGTGGAATGAGGTGGGTGGTGCTGGCGGGGCTTCTAGTGGCCTGGGCGCGGCTCCGCAAGGCAGTGGAGGGATGGCAGCCGCTGCGGGCAGAGCTGTGGAGGAGGCAGCAGCGGCAGCGGCGCAGGCAGTGGGGGCGGCACGGGGAGCGGGTGGGCGGCCGCGAGTGGTGTTCAGGTGCCTCAACGTGGTGGAGGCGGACATGCCGCGTGACAGTGCTGACACTGTGCTCTGGTGAGCTGACACTGTGCTCTGGAGAGCTGACACCATGCTCTGGTGAGCTGACACCGTTCCCTGGTGAGCTGACACTGTGCTCTGGAGAGCTGACACCATGCTTTGGTGAGCTGACACCATGCTCTGGTGAGCTGACACCGTGCTCTGGTGAGCTGATACCGTGCTCTGGTGAGCTGACACCGTGCTCTGGTGAGCTGACACCGTGCTCTGGTGAGCTGACACCGTGCTCTGGTGAGCTGACACCGTGCTCTGGTGAGCTGACACCGTGCTCTGGTGAGCTGACACCGTGCTCTGGTGAGCTGACACCGTGCTCTGGTGAGCTGACACCGTGCTCTGGTGAGCTGACACCGTGCTCTGGTGAGCTGACACCGTGCTCTGGTGAGCTGACACCGTGCTCTGGTGAGCTGACACCTGGTGGCTGCCGTGCTGGTGAGGTGGCACCTCGGCTCATGCGTGCTCTGGTGCGCTGTCACCTCGCCTCATGCCTGCTCCTGCCATGCGTGCATGTGCCATGCGTGCATGGGCTGTGCGTGCATGCGATGCTGGGTCCTTGCATGACATGACAGTGGGTATGGGTTCATTCTCGGTGGTGTGAGAGGGACAATAGCTGTGCTCACATTCTCATGCGAGATGCCACTCTCCCCTTCGCCCCTCTCTCCTGTCTGCCCTCTTTCCCCTCTGCCCCTCTTTCCCCTCTGCCCTCTGCTGCTCTCCTCTCTTCCCGGTCCTCCCCTGTCCGATTTCTTCACCCCACTGCGTGCCAGTCTGAGTGTGACCAAGTGGGTGCATCTCAACTGGGGCGATGCGGGCCTCATCGCGCTCTTCGCCAATCTCTTCCACATGCTCCGCCCCGTGCGTCCCTCTCCCTGCCTCACACCCCTGCGCCTCACCACCGCCTCTCAGTCCCATTCGTCCCTCTCGCTGCTACACTTGTCCCCCTCTCCCTGCCCCACACGTCCCCCTCTCCCTGCCGTCACCTGTCCGCACACATTGTGTCTCACTCATCCCTTCCCCCCCTCACAACCATGCGTCGCTTTCCCCGCCTCGGTGCTGTGTCTTTGTGCGGAGGACACCAAGTCTTGCACACCCAGCGATGCTGAAAGGCTCTTTCTGGCTTTGTGCTGCCTGCCTCGCTCTGTGGGTGTGACACCACGTACTGTGCAGCAGCGAGTGCTCTTCGTGTGATTACGCCATTTGCCGCACATTCTCTCTGCTCGCTTCCTGTACCCCTCTCTCTCTCACTTACTCTGGCTATCCTCCCTTCCTCCCCCAACCCCCCTGTTGTCCTTTTTCTGTGCGCACCCGCTCCCTGCCCTACAACGGCGCGGCCGTCTCTCGGCCATCCTCAGGGGGGGTTCTCATTCTGGAGCCGCAGCCGTGGAGCTCGTACAAGAAGAAGCACGGACTCACTAAGGTGCATGGCATGCTCCACTCACATGCATGGCATGCTCCACTCACATGCATGGCATGCTCCACTCACTTGCATGGCATGCTCCACTCACATGCATGGCATGCTCCACTCACATGCATGGCATGCTCCACTGAGATGCCTGGCATGGCATGTCTAAGGCGCATGTCATGGCACGGTATGACGACGGTGCGTGGCAGCATAGACCTGAAGAACCGAATACGAATTCGAGTTCGAGTTCCACATTCGAATAATTGTCGAATATCACGATACAAATTTTTTGTTCGAGTTGTGTTTGGAATTCGAATACGAATTCGAGTCGAATAGAGTCGAGTCCGAGTCGAATACGAATGCACTCGAGTTTTGGGCATATGAGCGTTTCAAGCTTTGTGAAGTTACCCTTGGAGTTTGTTGTCGGTTTTTTGGGCGTTGCCGTGCTTGCAGGTTTGCACAAGAAATTGGAGGGGTTGTACAAGTGGCAAGTGAAGCTTTTTAGCAGCATCGCGTAGCATCGAAACCATTAGGACCTTTGATGCTAGGCAATTAAATGCTAGTAGGAGCCAGGTATGTCCAAACTCGAGTACTAAAACGAGTACTCGAGTTCTGGCTGGGCGAATACGAATTCGAGTCGAATATTGGAAGTCGAGTTTTGGCGAGTTTGAACAGCCACATAGACTCGATTTGTATTTGAAATTCGTCCGAATTCGAATACAAATTCGAATATAGTCTACTCGTTTTCAGGTCTATGGCAGCATGTGGTTCTCACATGCACGGGACACCTGGTCTCCTTCCCAGCGCGACGTGTCGCCATGCACACATGCTGGCGATTGCGTTACGTACCCGCTTTCACTCCTTTTTTTTGCTTAAAAATCTCGTGCCCCCCACTGCTTGTTCCCCCCACTGCTGGTGTCGTTATGCCTGCACTCCCTCAACATCCACTCTCTCACGCGCCCATGGCCCTGTGGCCCCCACCAGGAGAGCAGGGAGCACTACAGCAGCATCAAGATCTTCCCTGCTCACTTCCGACAGCTGCTGCTCGACAAGGTGGGTGCAGCCAGACAAGGTGGGTGCAGCCAGACAAGGTGTGTGCTGCCAGACAAGGCGGGTGCTGCCAGACAAGGTGGGTGCTGCCAGACAAGGTGGGTGCTGCCAGACAAGGTGGGTGCAGCCAGACAAGGTAGGTGCTGCCAGACAAGGTGGGTGCTGCCAGACAAGGTGGGTGCTGCCAGACAAGGTGGGTGCTGCCAGACAAGGTGGGTGCTGCCAGACAAGGTGGGTGCTGCCAGACAAGGTCGGTGCTGCCAGACAAGGTCGGTGCTGCCAGACAAGGTGGGTGCTGCCAGACAAGGTGGGTGCTGCCAGACAAGGTGGGTGCAGCCAGACAAGGTGGGTGCTGCCAGACAAGGTGGGTGCTGCCAGACAAGGTGGGTGCTGCCAGACAAGGTGGGTGCTGCCAGACAAGGACAAGGTGAGTGTGTGCGTGCGTGCTCTCACACCCAGTGCACGTGTGGAGGTGCCTGCTGCCTGCACCTGGGCTATTCGCTGTCTTGTAGCTTGCTGTAAGGCGCTTATCCGTGTAGCTTGTTGAGTTTTACTCTTTGCTGCCAATTTCTCACTGTATCACGCTCCTTGCACTGCCACCCGCTCTCAGTCGGAGCCTTAGTTGCTACAAACGCTCTGGGAGACAAGCGTTTGGCGTTCAAACGCACCCAAAAACGCAAACGCTCTCTGGGATTTTTTTCGGGCTGCCCCCCCAAAAAAAACACGAGATTGTCGTTGGAGAATAGCCTTAAGGATAGGTGATTTACATGACATATGAGGATGCTGGCTTAAATGTTAAGCACGGTTCTTTTTTATGAGACAAAATGCTTGCTGGTAGAACCCCCATGTTTCCCCCCTCCCCCACAGGAATCTTGAACCCCTGCCCGGGTAAAAATTTTACCCCTGCCCGGGCAAGCGTTTGCCTAGCGTTCACATACACGCTGCTGAGCATTTAGCGTTCAAACGCCAAACGCGTTTGTAGCAACTAAGGTCGGAGCAAGGGGTTTCAGCAGTGGCTGCATTCACTCAGCCTCTTCTTGCACTCTCCCCATCGCGCTTGCTGTCTGTCGTTCCGTCCTCCCCCCCCTGCTGCATGGTGTGCAGATCGGCTTCCAGCGGGTGGAGGAGCTCACTGCTGCTGTTCCCACTGCGCGCGGCTTTGACCGGCCCTTGTTTGTTTACTACAAGTAGGGCACTCAAGCACTGCACCACGCACTTTAGCGAGAGGCCAAATAGTGGAGGCGGGCCCAACTCGAATGGGTGTTGTTTCCAGCGTGCCTGCAAGTACTCTTGTCATTACAACAATGAACAAAAGAATGTACGGTAGCGACGAGCACCAGCTGTCTGCTATGCGCCCTTGCTCTCTCAACGGGCAACGACTCTGACCCGAATGCGTGTGACCAGTGAGTATGGACGAGAGGCGCTCAAAGAGGGTCCTGCGGCACAATGTAACAAATGAAAGGTTGCTTTGCAAGTCATTTCCTCTTAAATCCGAAAAGAAAGCGTGGGTGACTGACGGAATAAGGTGCGGGAAAACTATGGGCGAAAAGGAAGGATCAAAGGAAAGGAAGGCAAGAGAGAAGGGGCAGGAGGAGACGGTAATCCTCAGCATATGAGTGCAGGTTGCCACAACTGCTCCAAGACAGGAGGGAGAGGAGGGAGAGGAGAATATGCCTTTTTAGAATCCTAAAGAACCATGATCGCAGGGACAGGAAGAGACGCTGCTGTCCCCACCTCCCTCCCGATGCTCGCCATGTGAGGGCTTGCTGCAGCGACAGCTTCATCAACCGCGGCACCACCACCCCTCGGAAGAAGCCAGGCCAACCTTGCGACTGGAGAGGGAAGAGAGAGAGGGGAGTGAGCGAGTGCGCACGATGCATCTGCCACCTGACTCTTCTGTTCATCTTGACCGCCATGCCATACCCTGCGCACGGCGACTTCTAAATCGACTCCAAAAGAGGGGAAGGGGGGGGGAGGAGTAAGGAAGCGCGCACGATGCAACAGCCTGGTTCTTTCATCTTGGTCATGCCATGCCTTGCACGCACGCCAGGGCTCTGGCTAAGGTTTTGGAAGGCCTTTCTGTCAAATGTAACTTAGGTCGTTACTGTAGACTATACTGGATTGTGCCTTAGAGGGTACAACACCCTAGTTTATATACCCTCGCGCCCGCCCCTAGCCGGCCCCCTGGCCGTCGCGCTCGTCCCTACCCGGCCCCCTGGTCGTCGCGCTCGTCCCTAGCCGGCCCCCTGGCCGTCGCGCTCGTCCCTAGCCAGCCCCCTGGCTGTCCCGTCCGCCCCTAGCCGGCCCCCTGGCCGTCGCGTCCGCCCCTAGCCGGCCCCCTGGCTGCCGCGCCCGTCCCTAGCCGGCCCCCTGGCCGTCGCGTCCGCCCCTAGCCGGCCCCTTGGCCGTCGCGCCCGTCCCTAGCCGGCCCCCTGGCCGTCGCGTCCGCCCCTAGCCGGCCCCTTGGCCGTCGCGCCCGTCCCTAGCCGGCCCCCTGGCCGTCGCGTTCGTCCCCAGCCGCCCCCCCCCTGGCCGTCGCGCCCGGTTCCTGCCGTCCCACGGCCGCCCCTAGCCGTCTCACGGCCGCCCCCTCGCCGTCGTGGCTGCCCCTAGCTGCTGTCGCTGCCATCTCCAGCCGCCTCACGGTCACTCCTGCCGTCGCGGCCGCCCCTAGCCGCCGTCGCGGCTGTCCCTGGCCGCCATCGCGGCCGTGTCTCCTCGCCGTCGTGGCCGGCCCTACTCGCCGTCGCACCAGCTCCTCGCCGGCCCCCGTTGCCGCCGTTTGCTGGCCCCTCGCATCTGCCGTCTGCCGGACGGCTCTTGCATTCGCGTCGTCGCCAGCCCACCGCTGCCTCGAGTTCGGCCCGTTCTTCCCGATCAGCACCGCCCTGCGAACCCCCCCGGTACCGTACTAAACCGCCTTGCACCGCACTGTACCGCACTGCACCGCACTGTACCGGACTGCACCGCACTGTACCGCACTGCACCGCACTGCATCGCACTGCACTGCACCGCACTATACCCCGCCGCACCGCACTGTACCGCACTGCGCCGCACAGCACCACACTGTACTGCTCTCCACTGCCCTCTATTGTCACTGATGGCGGACGTGCTTCGCTTTGAGGCTGAGGGCCAGCCGATTGAGTTTGATGCGTGGCTTGCTGACCTCCGTCGCCACCTTACTGGTCAGCGGCAGGATGGCCACTCTCTGTCTCTCCATCTTGACGGTACTCTCCCCTGCCCTAACCCCCCCGCTGCATTGTCTAGTGATCCCTCGTCCGCTGAGCGTGAGTCCGCTGCGGCCACAGCCCTTGCTCGCTCAGTATGGCTGTCTCATGACGATGTCGCACAGCTGGCTATTAGCAGTGCCCTCCCCCTGTCCGAGCGACCTCGCTTCAGGTCTATCACCACTGCACAGGCTTTCCTAGATGCTGTTGTCCAGCGCTATTCCACCCCGCCTTCTGCCTCGGTCGGTCGTCTGATCCTCCCCATGCTCTTCCCTGACCTTGCGTCGTTCCCCACTGTCGCCGACCTGGCCGCTCACCTGCGCACTATAGACGAGACCTGGCGTGCTGCCTGCACTCCCACACAGCTTCTAGCCCACCAGCCGCCCCTCACCTCTACTCTCTACCTGCTAGCCACCCGTCTCCCTAACCGTCTTGCCACTGCCCGTGACCACTTCCTTAGCATCCACCCCGCAGACCTCACCCTCACTGACTTCGTTGACACCCTGTCCGCTATAGAGGCCCGCTGCCGCTCTATCGCTCAGACCAGCGGTACTGTGCCGGTCCCTATCTTTCAGGGTTGTGCCCCCGCTCAGTGCACCTTCTCCGACGGTTCTGTTGCTGTGGCTGAGACAGCCGCTGCAGCACAGGTCCGTCCGGGGAATGGTCGCCGCCCCAAGGCTGGGCGTGGCGGCGGGGGTGGGGGTGCAGGTATAGGTGGTGGTGGAGCTGGGTCTCCTGGTGGTGGTGCAGACGAGGGGACCCTGCCAGGTGCAGCCGAGCAGCCGTCTTAGCAGCCGCCGGCGTTGCAGCCGGACTCGCGTCAGCCGCAGCAGCCGCAGTAGCCGTAGCAGTCACAGCAATCGCAGCAGCTGCAGCAGTCACAGCTGCAGCAGAGACGGGCGAGTGGTCTCCCGCCCGGGTGGCCTGGCGCTGGTGGTAGTGCTGGACGTGGTGGTGGTGCGCGTGGTGGGCTGCCGGGTGGTGGCTCGGGTGACGCACGCTGTCAGTACCTGCTCCAGATCGGTCGTCGCCATGGCTTCGTCTGCGGTAAGATCGGTCACACCTCCGTCCGCTGTTTCCGTCGCCTGGACGACCTGTTTCGTCAGCGTTTCGGCCCGTCGCCCGAGCTTCCAGACTGGCACAGTTTGCATCGTCGTAGGGTTCAGATTTTTTTATCTGGATATGGATGCGCTTGTTACTGCTCTGCATGTGATGTATGCTGATGACTCTAGTGTGCTTCCGTCTTATTACCCCTTGTTGCCTAGTGTAGGTGTGCCTTGCTTAGACTCCCTTGCTGCGCCAGGCGTAGGATCCCCTGCTTTGTTTAGCCTTGGTGCTTCCGTCGCTACTTCGCCTCCGGCCGCCACTGCCGCGCTCTCCTTCACCCTCGACTCTGGCGCTTCCCGGTGCTTCTTCCGCGACTCCGCGACGTTGACACAGTCTCTCTTGCTGACCCCTCCTCCGGCCCAGTAGTCGCCCGCAGTTCCACCACCTTCCCCTGTTCGCGCTTCCTGTCCCTACCACAGTCTCTCTTCCTGACCCCTCCTCCGGCCCAGTAGTCGCCCGCAGTTCCACCACCCTCCCCTGCCCTTCGGACTCGCTCACAGGACTGCACATCCCCTCGTTCTCCAGGAACCTAGTTGGTGTCGGCTGCCTTCAGGACCTTGGCGTCACCACTACGTTCCCTGGACACGAGCGGTACACTGTCTGTACCGAGGCCGCCACTGGTGCCACCCTGTCCACATTCCCATGGGACCCGGTGTCTGGTCTTTTCACACTGGACACGGTGACCCCCCCGGCTGGGACCCCACCTCAGGTGATTGCGTCTCCCGCGGTTGCTGCTGCCTGCTCCTGTCGGTCTCTCACTCACCCGACTCTTCTCTGGCACCACCGCCTAGGTCACTCTGCACTCCCGCGTCTGCGTCACATGTCACAGCACGGTCTCGTCCTAGGCCTCCCCAGGTCGTTCCCCGAGCTTCCCTCCTCCCCAGCCCCACCTTGCACGCCCTGTGTCGAGGGCCGGCTCCGCCTTGCCCCTCACTCCTCCTCGTTTCCCCCTACTGCAGCACCGCTATAGACTCTGCACATGGACGTCTGGGGCCCCGCCCTCGTCCATGGGCCGCGTCGAGAGCGCTACTTCCTAGTGCTTGTCGACGACTACACGCGCTACACCACGGTGTTTCCCCTAGAGCGGAAGGCCGACGTGCCTGCCTTTCTTATCCCGTGGCTTGTCTCTGCGCGTGTCCACCGCGGTCTCCCTGTCTTGCGTCTCCACTCCGACCGTGGTGGCGAGTTTGCCTCTGGTGTCCTTGGTCGTTTCTGTCGTGCGGAGGGCATCACCCAGACGTTCACCTTGCCAGACTCCCCGCAGCAGAATGGGGTCGCTGAGCGACGCAGCAGCCGCCGCTGTCGCAGCCGTCGCCGCAGCAGTTCGTTGCCTCTGGGGGTGCTGGAGTTCGGGTGGGTACTAGTCATGGGATTCCTGTTGTGGCTTGTCCCGGCGGGCCTGGGGGTGGTACCGGTGCTCGAGGGGTTTTGAGCTCTGGGGGTGTTCCTTCTGGGGGTGCTGGCGTGGCGTGTTTTGGAGGTAGCCGCTAGGCAGCTTGCGGTCTTGGTGTCGGTGTCACACCGCCGCCGCAGCAGTCCCCGCCGGTGTCCGCTCTTCGCCCGCTCGGCCTTCCGTCCCCTGACCCCGTGCCTGTGCCTCCTCCTCCTCCTGTCTACGGCCCTGTGTTTCCTCCTCCGGACTCATCTTCGGCCCGTTTCACCCCCATTCCCCTCTTGTGTCCCCTCCTCTGTCTCCTGACCCGACTCCTCCGTCCCACGTCTAGTCTCGCCATCCCTCCCGCGCTCGACCTGTCTCCCCTGTCTCGCACTCTTACCCTATATTGCTTCGTTCCCACGCGTCTTGTCCTCCCCTTCTCCCGTCGCCCCCTCCGTCCTCCCTTGTCGTTGCTCCCCCCCCTCTGTCTGACTACCTGGGTGCCGCTCGTCCTCTTGTTCCTCGGGTCCTTGCCTCTCTCGTTACCGACCCGTCTGTTCCGGTTTCAAGCCTTGACGATCTTGTCGCTGCAGTCACTGACTTTGCCTCTACCCGCCGCCTTGACTACGCCACCGCTCTGGTCTCTGACCCTGCCTGTCCTCTGTCTGTCGGGGGTGCTCCTTCCCTCGGTAGTGACGTCCTGGAGGACCGCCAGTACGAACTTGCTTTCCTGTCCGAGGCTGCTCCCCATCTCTATTCCATGCT